AGAACAATTTAATGATTAAACTGAGTTAGAAAGTGTACTATTTAAATAAAGTGGTAGTCGCCTAGTCAGGCATAACGGCGTGGTAATGGTTAAAATTTTAAAAACAGTAGGGGGGTTTGCGGATTGTAAATAAAAATTAATTATTTATATTATTCATCTTACCTTGACAACGTGAAAGAGGATAAATTTCGTTATCACTGACAGGGCCAGGTTTGTAGTCCCTAACATTAAATAAATTTGATGTTTGAAGAAATCTGTAGAAGAACGTAGTAACATTAAACCAAATAGTAACAGTATTATTTTGATTATAGTTAAAACAGTTAATCTAATAATACCGTAATTTGACTTGAAAAGTTCTATTACGAGTATAATTGTATATGTAAATACTGGCTCACCTTGCCATGGTGGCAATACCAGCTAGATATTTATTGACAGGACTGCAGGTCCTGTCCTTAAATTAAATTAAATTAAATTAAAATCAACTAATTAAATAGATAGTATTGGATGATTTTAACTAATGGCTGCACGAGGGCCTGTGGTACGTACCGGTTTGAATAAGGTAACAAGGCAGGTAACAAGTCGAACGACTAATGCTGACGTTTGGGCTGTTGACGAGTATGTAAGTCTGTAATATGATTCTACCACTTTATCATATCTCTTGTAATGCACTTGATCGGCACGAACAGAGACGACGTTTACCGGGACTGGCATTCGGCGCCATGTTGAGAAAAAGACCTGCTCTTTGGAGCTCGATTCTGAGATCGCTGCGCTTGCGTCGCACGAGGGTGCCGTTTACAATATCAAGTATTCTCATCTTTGGTTCCGGGTTCTTTCCTGAGCGTAAATTTATCGCTATACAGTACCCGGGCACCCCATAGGGCCACAGGGGTTGGGGTTACGCCCAACCAGCGCGCAAGGCACCCAGTACCTTGCTACCTTGATTAGCTAAGCCTGCAGGGGCTGTCGCTCGTTACAGGTCGAACGGGGCGATTCTAAGCCCTACCGTCTCACCAGGACGGTTCCAGAGCAGGCGGGACGCTGCTCACCCACCGAAGACCATTCGGGGCGAGCCATTACCCCT